ATAGATAAGGCTCACATAGATATAAAATAACCAAGGAGAGACTTCACATTACAAGAGACTGATTACTGAGAAGTTGTGCATAAAACTTTTCTGTAACAGATAAAATCATTTTTTTTTTTCCATATTAGTTTCTGGCAATCATGACATATACTTTAAACCACTCCACTCCCTGATTCACACTAAAGTATACAGCGGTTAATAACCACCCAAGATGTTTTAGGGGAACTAAACACCAAATCCTTCCTCAATATGAATGTGTGTCTTAAATGTATGCTTTGTAAGTTTACATTTTCAATTTTTTAAAAAAGATTTTCCGAGAGAGGGAACACAAGCATGGGGAGTGGGAGAGGGAAAAGCAGGCTTCCCGCAGAGTGGGAGCCTGATGTGAGACTCGATCTCAGGACCCTGGGATCATGACCTGAGCCAAAGGCAGAGGCTTAACGACTGAGCCACCCAGGCGCCCAAAGTTTACATTTTCAATTTTTTAAGGCAGGGCTCTGTGTTCATTTTGCAAACCAGACATAATTATTAGATTAGGAAAATAAAACTGAGATAATTTTATTAAGCTGAGTTCAATTTAGAAGAGCAAATCTTAAAAGTACGTTTACAATAACACGGTGGCATCCAGGAACCAATGATTTTACAACTCCCACAACCCCAAATTACTTAAGCATGAACATTCTTGAGGGTGTTGTGCTAAGTGGAGTTAGTCAGAGGAAGACAAATACCATATTACTTCATTTCCACATGAAATCTAAACAAAGCAAACAGATTCTTAAATGCAAAGAACACACTGGCGGTTGCTGGGGGGAGAGGGGGATGGGCAAAATGGATAAAGATTAAGGAGAAAGAAAAAAAGGGACATTGATAGTACAGAGATGGAAAAAAAGGACAGAAAGTATCTTGAAGAAACAATATCCTTAGGACGGAAGACTTTTTCTTTATCAAATTCTCAAAAATGTAATTTTCTTATCCTTACACATTTGGAAGATTTCCTCTTGAACGCTGATGGTGGACACCCATAGAACCAAGGGATGGAAGACTAAGGTTTAAAAGGATTCTGTTGGGAAGATGACAAAGTCTGTACTTGTTACTGGTAAAGCAGTTTAATGATTCAAGCAGGGAAATCCTATACAGCTGGATATTTCAGTTTATGGTTAGAGGTTAGATATTCTAGTCGGAGCATTTTTGGACCTACTAAAACTTTTTGTATTAGGAAATTTACATACAAGACGACAAGGACTACCCAGATTTGACCATCGAAAAGTGGAAATGAATTGATGAAATTTACCTTCATGGTAAATTGTATTTACCTATTTTATAAATACTTTATAAATATTTACATATTTGTATTTAAATATGTATTTCTGACATACTTCTGATACCTAATACCAAACCAGTTAAAATACAAGAGTTAAGAGTTAAAAGCAGCCACTCTCCCATGCACTGAACAACAGAAGTCTTTCTGTAACTTAGTTTCTGTGGTCTTCACTGGAAAAGAAATCAGAACAAACTGTACAAAAACCATCTTTTTTTATATATAAGTATGAACAATAAATGCTATCTCTAACACTTTTCACGGACCGTAAATTACCAAGTAGGTATTTTTTAAAACAGAAGCACACCATCAAAGCATTAAGACGTCATCAATCAAAGATGAAGAGTTCATACAAGGGGTGCCCAGGTAGTCGTAAACCTGACTCTTGGTTTCAGCTCAGATCATGACCTCAGGATCATGCGATCAAGCCCCACGTAGGGTTCCATGTTCAGCACAAAGTCTCCTTGAGGTTTCTCCCTCTGCCCCTTCCCCCCCCCCCCCCCCCCCCCCACACACTGCTTTCAAATAAATAAAAACTTTAAAGAAAAAGAGTTAATACAAATACGCTTGTATTTGGTGCAAATTTAATTTTATTAGACCTTACAATGAATGTTGGCGTATCATTTTCCATTATGTGACAATTTATTGGCTGGCATCTGAATACAGTACTTCTGAAAAATACACAATGGGAAGTGACAAAAGGGAGAAACTAGTTGTTTAGTGATATATGAAGGCGGAAAAAAGAAGAAGAAAAAAGAAAAATGAAAAAAGGATGAGGACCAATTAGTTTCTTTAGGATCTAACTCTAAAATGGTTAAAGTTCCAAGCAATAATGCTGCTGTCGCAGTGTCCAAGAAGATGGTTATTATCTCATCTGGCCCCCACAATTCTGATAACTACAAGAATCGTTTTTCCTCTAAAAGTCAACCTAAGGTTTTAGCTGGGTGACAGGATTTTGAAGAGCGACCTTTTCATATATAATTTAAAGAATTTTCCCAAGTCACAGTAGATGGGGGGTCTCTAAAATATTATACAGTAAGGTAGTCACTTTACAAGTGAGCACGTAACTTCAGAGTCAGAATGGGCACCAGGCTTATTTTTTGCTGATTTGGGTTTTATGCCCCTGTCGGTTTACAGGTAAGAAAATGACTCTTTTTTAAAAAATCTAGAATCCACTTGTCTTTATAAAGTAGACTGGTATCTCATCTGAGCAAAACGACCATTTCTTTTCCAGGAATGATCACGAGTGGAGCATCTAAAATTCAGCAGGCCTCACGAGGCATTTTTACAGAAAGGGAATCAGAACTTAGAAACTCCAGCCAACATCACTCGCTACAGTGTGGTTTAGTTCCACTCACACCAGTACAAGTAGCTCATTAAGTATTACTCACTTGTGGTTAAAAAAAAGTAACAAACGGACATATCTTTTTTAATTCAGTCAACAACAATTGTGAGAATACTTTCTGACAAAGGCCTTAACAATGTCTGAGGTCACCTTTTATCAACCAACCTCCTCCAGAATGAAACTGTGGACAACTCTGAGCTATCAAACCACTCGATTTGTCAAGAGCTCCTAACAGCATCTGGGGAGATGGCAAACAGAGGAGAGTCGTATCCTAACTGAAATAAGGCATTCCAGTTCTCGAGACTGAAGAACACTTTGAAGTGATCCATCTTTAGCGGTGGAAAAATGCTACGTGAAGAAATCCTGAGTTCCACTAGAGCCGCACGATTTCGGTTCACCCGTTGGATAGTGTGAAGTGTGCAGTACCAACGAGCATGTGAGCCCTCTTCTCCCCGCCCGAGAAAGGAAGGGGAAACGTCAAATCACTGGAAAATTCCACTGCTCATCTTTTACCCCAAAATTACCGGGATCCACTAGTGTTGATTTACTGCACGTACAGAGTTTCCCTTAAAAAAAAAAAAAAAAAAAAAAAAAAAAAGGTTGCCCATGCATATGTACCAGAGGGTTAGAAGCAAATGATTTCAAAATGTTGATGTCTGCTATTTCTAGAATGTATGTCTAAATCACAAATGGTTAATATATGTGGCAGTCCAAACTTTTCACCAAATTTGCCCGCGGTAAATACGGGTTTCGAGGCTCTTCATCAAAAGGCTGGAGAGCAACCATGATCAGTTACATCCCATTCGCCCTTTTCGACAGTGAAATGCAATTCAGAACCTAGTAAAAACAGGATACCTTAAAAAAAAAATTAAACTTCAATTACTTACCCAGAAAGTAAGTCTAATGCTTTTTTATTTACTACTTTTCATCACGAGTTTTTTTTTTCTTGTTTTTTGTTTTACTGAATAAAGATGAAATAAACCTAAGGCGATTCTTTGCAGTGACGACTCTGTAAAGACCATGACATCAACCCTCAGGATAAAATGCAAGCAAAACCCCAAGTGGACCCAGCTCATTCAACTCACAGGTACACTTGAGTCTGTTTTTTCCTCAAACAGATAAGGAGCTTTTTATTCAGAACAATTTCATTAAGACGTTTGCAGGGCAAATGTGCCATCATACATTTTATCCTGAATAACAATAAAGTGCTGAAGGATAACTACCTGAATCTTTTTTAGTACTTTTCCCTTAATCTTTTCTTGAAAGAGCCCTTTCTGTGGCTAGCGAAACTGTGTGGAAGGAACCGACAGAACCCAACCAAAAACAAGACAAAACAGAAAACCGTAGGGAAAGAAGAGCGGAGCCAAGCTAACTTTCAGGAAGGGGACGGGAAGCACTGCAACCTTTTGTGTTTAACTAGGGTGACGAATAACCAAGACCAAAGTAATCCATGCAAGTTATTCGGAAAGGTATACCGAAGCTGGAAGGACGGACGGACACTGGTACTGACCTTGGATACTACGGCAGTAAATTGCATACGAAAATACCTTAATTATCCTAGATGCCTAGATCGGGCTTGGCAAGCACCATGCCACTGACATGCTGTAGCTCTTTTTTGTAACTAAAAGTGATCTGCGGTCCAATCGCGGAAGAGTTCAATGTGACTCGTTAAAGCTGCGTGATACACTCTGAGGTTAAATTGATGTGAATTCTCTACACCTAATCACATCATCAGCCCGAGCAGGACAACGCTGGCGGCATGAAAGGTGGGTCACTTTGTCAAGAGTCTTCCTTTTACTGCAGGATATATTAAGACAACAGACCTAAATTCCAACTGGGTTAATGAGTTAGGAGAGATTTGTTTCCCAAATTTAGCACACAATAATTTCAGTGGATTAGAGAGAGAAACCTCAGAAGAAGAAGGAAGAAAAAGAAAAAAAAAACCCCACAAAAACAAATAAACAGAAAAGCCTGAGCTCAGGTAGCTGACCTGTAGCTCTAAAAACTGTCATGCTACAAAGAGTACTACTTTCAAAAAAAGGAACTTTGTAACAAATGTAACAGGTTTTGAGTTGAAGTTGACCAACTGCTGCATAGAAAAATGTGCTAACATACAACAGTCAAGTTTAAGCCGGTGCATAGAGAAGATAAAGCACTTATGGTAATTGCAAATGGTAACAGGTCCATAAAGGGTGTACAACCTAGCATGGGTCCGTAAGGGGGGAAAAGATGGTAAGTAGAAATGGGGAGGAAAAAAAAAATCAAGTGGAAAGAGTGAAGAAGCTTGGACAAGAGAAGGAAGAAGCAGGAGAAAAAAAAAAAAAAAAAGACCTTCAATTGTATAAAATTCACAAACCAGTAAAGTATAAAGACACCACTGAAGAACAGTGAATTTTGTCCCAAACACCCAACAGCAAACAGAACCAGAATAGGTAAGCCTTTGGCAGACAATTTAAGGAATTCGAGTAGGACATTCCATTTCTCAATAATACACAAACAATATATTATATGGTGTATTTATATTAAATACTGGGAAACCAATCCTGGAAAGCTGATGCTTCTAATGCTTTAGCCAATGAGAGCACGAGGTGTCAAGCCAAGTGAATGCTGGTGTTCTCACAACAGTGCTCACTTACGAGGCAACTGTCAGCGATCCGTGCTTTCGACAGTGCGCCGAGCCAGGCAGATTATCATCTGTGAAGTGAAACAAAGGTCTCTAGCTTTTCTGGGATATGCCCTTTGTAATATATTCTATGATTCACTATGACGCGAGCAGCAAGACACTGCAGGGTGGTGTGATTGATGGGCTGGATCAAATTTTTCGCGATCTCTTTCTCATCCAGCAAGTCACTAGCAGTCTGCTTGTGCAAGTTTGTGGCATCGAAGTGTGCACCTGATTTAATAAGGAGATTCATGATGTCGGGATGGTTGTTCAGAGCGGCGATGTGCAGGGGGCTGTTGTCGTCAGAGTCTCTGACGTTCACGTCGGCGCCACACTCGATCAGTATGGCCGTGACCTGCAGAGACGGGAATTTACACACGGGGTAGCGCCCTACGCAGGTCGTGTTCTTGTCCACAGCCAGATGAAGGGGGCTGAAGTTATTCTTCCCCCTCGGATGCAGCTTCAGAAACCTGTAGATAGTCTGCTTTTTGAAGTGGTCCTGTTCTAGAGTACAAGGAACTTTCTCTAGCAAGCAAATCAAGTGCAAAATAATGGACAGAGCCTTATTTAACTGCAACGGGTCAGCTGGACACTGAGTTTGCTTGATAGCTCGCTCTATTTCAAGGACACTTTTGCACAGGATGCCCATAAGATCATCAAACGTAACGGTGGTGCCCAGCAGGCCTTTAGCCCTATCCTGGAGCATAAAGGAGAACAGTTCCGCAAAAGACAGCAAGCTGCTGGCGGTCATGGGGCTTAAAGGGTCCAAGTTGTTCTGCTGCATATCCAAAGCATACTTCCAGAGGTTGATGCATCGTTTGAAATTTCCAGAGTCCGCATAGACAGCGCCTCTGTATCTAATGTAATAAGAGGTATCGGGATGAGAGGGACCAAGAATACGTTCTCTGATCAATAGTGCCTGCATTCTCATCTCGTCGGGGTCGGCAATAAGACCTTCTAGCTCTTCCGCACTATTCACCTCCTTGGCATAATCGTAAGCCATTATCAGAGTTTGAGGTACCGGTTTGCTGATGATATTAGTCCTATCACTGTACCTCATGTTCATGGCCTTTTTCCAGTATTTCAAGGCCCCAAGCAGATCTCTCTTTTTGTCCACAAACGTAGCTCCCAGGAGCTCTAGAGCATTGATCCGTTCTGTCTTGCTGGTCTGTGCGTGGTGAGTCAGAAAATCCACAATATTTGTGTGACCGGTGACACTGGCCGAAAGAAGGGGAGTCATTCCATAACCATCCTTTTCCATCTTGGCACAATACATAAGCAGCATCTTCATGATGTCCAAACTCCCAGACTCTGCGCAATCATGCAATGCAGTATTACCTTAAGGAGAGGAAAGAAAGAGATAACAGATTTTGAGGGAGCAGGAGAAAATGGAGTACATGTATGTAGCTTAGGAACCTCATGAAAAGCAGACAGCTCCAGGCTGACCTTAACGGGACTTTTTTTTTTTTTTTTAAAGATTTTAATTTATTTATTTGACAGAGAGAGAGAGATCACAAGTAGGTAGAGCAGCAGGCAGAGAGAAAGGAGGAAGCAGGCTACCCGCTGAGCAGGGAGCCTGATGCAGGGCTCAATCCCAGGACCCTGAGATCATCATCTGAGCCTAAGGCAGAGGCTTAACCCTCTGAGCCACCCAGGGGCCCCTAATAGGACTTAAATTTGAAAACAAATGAGAAAAAAAAAATGATCCACAGCCCCCGGACTAGCGTGACACATTGCAGGGTTTAAATAAATACTTAAGTTTGTTGAATAAATGACCAAATTAGGCATGAAAAGATCAAAGTCACTAATGAAATTCAACATAAATCCATGTCCTCTTGGGTTTTTTCAGTAGCATTTGCAAGTGCATATTCTATGACTAAAAAGTGATGAAATGCAATTAACCAGCTAGTCAGCTTTGCAGACTGTCACGTAACTTTCTGGGTAAGGGTCCACGTTTATAAGTGAGAAATCTAATCTGTAACATCTGAGATTCTCCAGTTTGATTCTAACAGGAGTCAGAAATTGTTTTTTCCATATTTCTGATTGCCAAGTGAACTTCAGCTGCCTTAGTCAAAATTCTCGGTGACAGAGTACTTTTCCTCAGAAAGCTCCCAGGAGAAAAACAAGTCCGGTAAAATGTGAAAAAATATGTGGGTGGTTCAACTGGAAATTTAAAAGGAGACATCTGAAGTGTCCTTTGTAATGGATAACTTCCCACTGTAATTTAATTTTGTAAACATTTCTGAAGCCATACTAATTGTTCCAATGCCGTCTTGCTCTTCCCACACATGGATTCAAATGGACAACAGACCCTGGCACATCAGGAAACGCCCGTATGCAACATACCAAGACATTCTGAGCACACGAGTATTTTAGCTGCCAAAGTTTCATGCCAAACATCTTACTACTTATCGTAACAAAAATTATCACATAGACCTTTGGTATCACCCTACGGTGTTTACAGAAAATTTCAGCAGTGAGTCACCAGAGGCTGAGTGCAGCAGAGTTCTCGCAGGCTGGCACTGGTGTCTTTAGAAAGAGCTGCCTACCCGGGGCCAGCCCTCGGTGGACATCGGAGAGCTCGTCTGTTCCAAAAACTTGCCCTCCAGGATAAGGTGGAATCACAGTTTGTACAAACAATACAGTTTGTGCTTAATACCTGCTTTCCTCCCAGGGGTATCTCCAGGAAGGGTGCCCACCCTGAGCTCGGAGTCTCCTAATGGGTCTCCCCCGGGGCAGAAAAAGCCTGCAGATTCCTCTAAGCCTCACGGTGCCTTTCCCCTTAGGATCCAGCTCCACGTCCCTATCATACCGTAATTCCCATGACCAGCTGACTCACCTCCAGAGACAGGGAAGGCCTTGGGGGACTAGAAAGTAGCTGAAACCTGCCCACTTCCCATAACAAATCTGTGACTGAAATTTGAAAGAACCAGTTACTGCACCTTGGGACTTGACTCTCCCCAGGGTCATCCTGTGGAGACTTCCACAGCACCTACACAACTACAGCACTACCTGCACACATTTACTCTGACTCAGGATTTCAAAGTTCTATAATGGAATGGTGTTGGACGGACATTTTAGCCATGCATCTGTAAGCAAGCACTGCGAGAGCCCAGAGCCTCTCCCTACTAACACTAACGTTCATTTGTTCAAAGTAATTTCAAGTAAACACGGCTATTATGAAATGTGTTTTTAAAGCTCTTTTAAATTAAGAATCCCTTTTCCTCTAAGAGACAATATAAGAGAAACAGGAGATTTAGATGGCATTCTTCTCTGTACAATCACATAAAATCAAGAGTAAGAATGCAAGAGAAGCCAGTTTTTTAAACGACTATAAGCCAGTTTTTTAAACTACTGTATTAGAATACACCAAACACTGAAAAAAAAAAAAAAAGAAATGGTTTCTCTTAAGATAAAAAAAACCTACAGAATAGTTTCATATCTAGTAATGGCAGAAGCGGTATGATCACCCTCCCCCGTAATAACTTCAAAAGCTGAAAATTTTATTTTGAAAAATCTGTTTGACAGCATGTAAAGAGCTAAAAGGAGGACAACATCCAGAAGAAGAAAGAAAATCAGAGAAGTCCAGAACTAAGGGAAGCTTCCTCCAATGTCCTCTTCCGATTCTGGAACCAGTAGCTAAAACACTGAGTGGAGCTTTTGACAGCTAGGCAGGGCCAGAAGAGAAAACTAGAGTCCAGAACCCACTAAGAAGGGAACTTTGAAACCCCCCATATACTTTGAGTTAGAGCTCTGAAGAACTGCACCCTAGTCCTTAAAGACAAATTACAAACCAGCTATTGGAGGAACCAAAACCCAATTTAAGATCATATCAATACTGAACTAAAGAAATTCAGGGGGCACCTGGATTGCTCAGTCATTAAGCATCTGCCTTTGGCTTGGGTCGTGATTGGGTTGAGCCCCACACCAGGCTCCCTGCTTGGCGGGAGGCCTGCTTCTCCCTCTCTCCACTCCCCCTGCTTGTGTTCTCTCTCTCACTGTATCTCTCTCTGCTAAATAAATAAATAAGTAATCTTAAAAAAATAAAAAAAAAAAAGAAGAAATTCAGGATTGCTAGTTGAAAACAGACAAAAGCCAAAAGCAAATACAAATGCTACTTACAGAAAATATTATCTAGACAGTACCTATTTACTAGGGTTCAAATTATTTTTCATATTCTATCTAATGTTTGATACCCAATCAAGGAACCCCAACACAAAACCAAAGGAAGTAAGAGCTGATGGAAAAGCCCAACAGAAGATCCTGATCATACAGTCATCAGACACAGACTTTAAAACAGTTAATTATGCTGAGCTAAGTAAGAGAGATTAAAAAACAATTCTGAGAATTAGAACACTGGAAACTACAAAAAGGCACAAAATGGATGTTCTAGAACTGAAAACCTCAGTGGGTGGCTTTACAAGCAGATTAGGCATAGCTGAACAGAGAATGAGTGGCTGGAAAAATCCGTCAGATGAAAATATACAGAGAGAAGCATGGAGATGACAGGCTGGCAAAGCAGAGACAGTGAGAGACAGAGGGAACGATGTCAGAGGGTTAATACGCGTAAACCAGAATTCTAGAGGAAGAAAATGGGCTCAGAGCAATACATAAAAGATAAAGTCTGAGAATTTTCTGAAGCTGGTAAAGTATTAACGTATAAATTTAATAAGTTTTACAAACATCAAGAAAGAGAAATACAACGAAAATCCCCTCGAGGCACACTCCAGCGGAACAGCTCAGCGCTCAGGCAAAGGGAAAAACTTTACAACCAGAGAACAGGTGGAAGTGACCTACACAAGAGAAACAATTTGGCGAGTGGCAAAGCTCTCACCAGGAACAGGAAGCCAGAGGCCAACAGACTTGAAAGCACTAAAGGAGAATAACTGCCAACTGAAACTTTTATACCCAGAGCAAGAATCAATGTGAATGAAGTACTGTTTCAGGTGAGAACGAAACAGAAAACCCAAGGTATTTATTACCAGCCGACCTAGTACTGGCAAAAGGATGAGGAGGCACATGGAAGCACAGAGATACCGGAATAAGCATCAACAAGAGGGGTAAATCTGGGAGAAGAAATGACTTCAAAAATTAGCAAGCGTCTCATAGGGCTTGAAATACACAGACAAGTCAAATGCTTGACAGCAAGAGCATCAAGGTAAGGAGGGCAATTGGAATTAGAGTATTCTAAAGATTTTAGCATTGCTTGGACAGAGGGAAACTCAGAAATTTATGTTATTCCTTTGGTAATTCAAAGTAGTACAGTAACCACTCAAATAACAGAGGATATGCATCTCATCACTACATACCCTCTAATACAGAGAAAAAAATGAAATAAAAAATAATTCAAAGGCAGACAAAAAAAATCAGAGACAAAGAACACAAACCAGGTAGGACAAATAAAAATCAGAAAGTCAGAGATTAAAACCCAAATAGATCAGTAATTACATTAAATGCAAGCAAACTAAATGCTTCCTTAAAAGACACAAACTGTAAGACTGAAAATAGAAATATGTACAACTGCTTAGAGGAGACAAAACCTTCAACACAGGGATAGAAAAAGGCTGAAGTGAACAAAATAGAAAAAAATTATACCTTATTAGACCCTATGCAGAAGCGAACCATAAATAAGAAAGCTGTCTGATACAAGGAGACATTAAGGCAAAAGGCATGGTTAGAGATATAGGGAAACATTTTACAAGGATATAAATAAAATCCAAAACAATATAAAGATACAGTATTTCTAAATTCGTTTTTACCTAAAACACGGGTTTGAATTATGCAGAGCAAGAATCAACAGAACTACGAGGAGAATCAGGCAAACCCACCATCACTGGACACTTGAGCACACGTTTCTCAGTAGCGAAGAACAAAACCAATACCAGTAGAGAAGATGTGAAACCATGAACAAACTTAATTTAACTGAGGTATATAAAGGAACACTGGACTCAACACCTGTGGAATGCCATTTTCTTTCTAGGATATATGAAAAAACAGACACAGGGACCACATTCTGGCCACAAAGTGAGACGCACAGAAACGGCAAAGGACTGATACTACTGATTCTCTTCTAGGTCAACAATGCAAGGTAGAAAACACACACACCCCAACAGCAGCAACAACAAAACACTGGAAAAATCTCCACAGTTTTGAAAATTAAATACATACTGCTAAATAACCTATGGGTCAAAGAAGAAACCCAATGGAAAAAGAGAAAATATTTGTAACCGGATGAAAATGAAGACCTTAAGTAACAAATCCTGTGTGACATGGCTCAACCTGTGCTTCAACGTGCACCCTAGAGAAGAAGGGCTTTAAAAAGATGGCTCAGTTTCCAT